CTTATTCCACTGAGCCATCTCCCCAGCCCCTACCATCAAGTATTTTTGCATTGAATGTTAACAAAAAAAAAAAATTTCTAAATACCTGAAAGACCCACTGTTAACATGAACCATGGTAATAAAAAATTTTCATATTTAACTTGTTCAATGTATAGTATTACAACAGGAAACCAATGGAGGTATATCAAAGTGATAAAGAAATAATAAAAATAAACTTTAAAGAGCAAAGTCTTATTATAATACTACAATGTGCTAATTACCATAATTGTATATGAAAAATTAAAACATAGCAGAGCTTTCTGTTACAAAATTCTTAATCATCTGAGTTGCAGTCATTACTTGCTACCAATTTACATGCAACATGAGCTAAGACATTTGATTTTTTCTTCAAGAAAGTATAAAAATGACATTTCAGAACAGACATTAATTTACTTGTGGACAGAAAAAAAACTGCACTCAAGATTAGTACTGGTCATAAGCCTCTTTCCAACAGAAATCATAAAACCTATTAAAACAAAAACAAAAACAAAAAATCCAGAGATGCATAGGCAAAGAGTACTGTGAGTGGCATAACTCAAAAATTCCTGCAACCAAAACTAGATATTCATCTTTTCTGTCACTCCTAGAAGAGGTCTATTCTGCCATTAATTAATAATGACTGGAGCGAGTGTGAGGAACACCAGATGCATAACTAAGGAAATCTTACAAAATACTAAGATGGGGCAGGGTAGCCAGCAAGGGCAATTTATACGTGATTCAAACTCTATCCAGCATAACTGGAATGTATCCCAGCCACCTCTCTGATTGAAAAGCGAAAATTATAACAAGTGTAATAATACAATAGATTTACATAGGAAGGAAACACAGTCCTATTAAATGGTGAATGCTAGAGATATAAATGCTTGTTTTATGAATCCATTAAAATTTTTAAGGTTTGTCTGATATAGTACCTTGATTTATCCAGATAGCACAGGAAGTATTCAACATGCTTGATTTGTAGAAACTGGGCCATGTATTATGCTGTAAGTGTTAAGTTAAAAGTAAAAATTTTTTAAATGGGGGGACATTTTACATTAAGTATTTACTGTGCTGTTTCAAAATTTAAAAATATTTTTGCAAAGCAAGAGACAAGAAAAAAATGTCACAGGACTGTCCTGCTACAATGCTGTATATGGTTAGATTTCTAAATTTATGTGCAAAAGTATATAACTGTTTATTCCTATTTTTAAAATATTTTTTATTCTTTTAATTTTT